ATAGATACAGTACAGTAATATACAACTAGTCTATCCTAAGGTGAGTATATGGTATATTAGCATCCATACTACACATAGGTAATATACAACTAGTCTATCCTAAGGTGAGTATATGGTATATTAACATCCATACTACACATAGGGTAATATACAACTAGTCTATCCTAAGGTGAGTATATGGTATATTAGCATCCATACTACACCTTGGTGATATACAACTAGTCTATCCTAAGGTGAGTATATGATATATTAGCATCCATACTACACATATGTAATATACAACTAGTCTATCCTAAGGTGAGTATATGGTATATTAGCATCCATACTACACATATATACAGTACAGTAATATACAACTAGTCTATCCTAAGGTGAGTATATGATATATTAACATCCATACTACACATATGTAATATACAACTAGTCTATCCTAAGGTGAGTATATGGTATATTAGCATCCATACTACACATAGATACAGTACAGTAATATACAACTAGTCTATCCTAAGGTGAGTATATGATATATTAACATCCATACTACACATATGTAATATACAACTAGTCTATCCTAAGGTGAGTATATGGTATATTAGCATCCATACTACACCTACGTAATATACAACTAGTCTATCCTAAGGTGAGTATATGGTATATTAACATCCATACTACACGTAGGTAATATACAACTAGTCTATCCTAAGGTGAGTATATGGTATATTAACATCCATACTACACATATGTAATATACAACTAGTCTATCCTAAGGTGAGTATATGGTATATTAGCATCCATACTACACATAGATACAGTACACTAATATACAACTAGTCTATCCTAAGGTGAGTATATGGTATATTAGCATCCATACTACACCTTGGTGATATACAACTAGTCTATCCTAAGGTGAGTATATGGTATATTAGCATCCATACTACACATAGGTAATATACAACTAGTCTATCCGAAGGCGAGTATTAGTCTAGTGTTGATATTAATAAATATATTGTTCGCTGTCAGTTTTGCATTGGCTAGACAATTAAAAGAACAAATATTTATGAATCTTAATATGAATTTCTCTTATTTGTTCAAAAAAGTGATAAATATAAAAGTTAAAGGTTTTGAAATGAATTCTAATATATCAAGATATGTGGTTGATCTTTAAATTCTTTTTTTTTCTGTAGGGTGGTTCTGATGGCTTAATTGTGGAAAATCAATCGGAAATCAAATTAGCAGCTAAGTTGTTACAACTTCCACAAGACCTTCTTTCCAGAGCAGTCACATACAGACTCACAGTAAGTATTGGGTCAAAGTTTGACATTATGGTCTTGTAATATTTGCATTTTGTCACATAGGACTTAAAATACCAGATAAAATATTGTTCCTAGGATTTCAATATAATATAATTTAAATTAATATTTTACTTTTCTCCAATAGGAAACCAGAGATGAGCAAATTCTGACTCCATTAACATATGAACAAGCATGTGATGCAAGGTCAGTATAAAAAATGTCTGGTGACTGTTACTATGGAGATTATCACCAGTGACTGTCATGGTTGTTATATTTATTATGGAACTTATGGGACATCAGTTATCCTGTGTGATGCCAAATTGACTTTAACTGTTCAGAGTCATAGTTATTAGTAGATGATTATTTATTTTTTTAATGTGTAATTATTGCATTGCAGAGACGCAATATCCAAATCCCTCTATGCCAGATTATTTACATGGCTGGTGGAAAGAATCAATTCAATTATATCTAAAGGCCAGAGAATTACTTCCATTGCAATTTTGGATATCTTTGGATTTGAGGTACGTTGTAAAGTCATGATTAAGAGAGTTCAGCTATTTTGAATAACAAAAATTTAATATTATCTACTATATATGATACTAAATTTATAATTGTGCACCTAGGTGTTATACAACTAGCATGTACTCAACCAATCAGGTTTAACTTGCATTAACTTATCATTCAGTTAACAACTGTGATAAATTAACCTTGGCACAAATGAAACAAATTGATTTGGGCATCAAGGATATATTTCTAACAAGATGGAAAGGTGAGGTTCATGATGGTAACTGCACCAAAGCAAATGAGAAAAGCAAACTGAGAACATATCGGCTAATCAAATCAGATTTAAACTTTGAGCCATATTTAGTCGAGCTAAAAAAACTTTGAACTGCGTAGTGTGCTTACCAAATTTCGTCTTAGTCTCAAAATTGAAATGGGTCGTCATAAAATAAACCCATTAAACAACAGGGTTTGTGACATGTGTAACAAAGGTCTAATTGAGGATGAAATGCATTTTCTGCTGGAATGCAACAAATATAATGAGTTGCATACCAAACTGTTCAATAAAGCTGAGGATGTGATCCCAGCATTTGAAAATAAACCTGCAGTAAAAAAAAATTCATGGAATTGTTACAGAATGAAAACGTTATTATACCAGTAGCACAGTTCATAAGTAAAAGCTTTGAAGTCAAGAAGCAGGGTCTTACCTGACATCTTAATGCCTGCTGTCAATTTAGTAATTTTATATTAGTAATTTAGAGATTTTGTATTATTTAGTAATTTAGTGATTGTATTTGTTATTTAGTACATTGTGTTCTTGTTTTTTTTTATATACATTTTTTTCTCCTTTTACTTAGTGACCATTTTCTTTCCCTCTGGGGATTGTGTAAGAGTCAATAAGTAAATACAAGAAATCATTACAGACTCGCTTCTTTGAATTAATTCCGATCAAATTCTGTACAGCTCTGAATTTGTTTGTTTTTTTAGGTTTTCAGAGTGAATAGTTTTGAACAATTTTCTATCAACTATGCTAATGAGAATCTACAGTACTATTTCAACAAACATATATTCAAACTAGAACAGGTAAAATATGACTTAATGCATCTATACAATGCAATGTACAGTTGAGTCAAGTGGTGTGTAGAGTGGAGGAGAAGAGTGTAGTGTGGAATGGAATGGAATGGAGGAGTGTGGTGTGGAGTGGAGGAGTGTGGAGTGGAGTGGAGGAGTGTGGTGTGGAGTGGAGGAGT